CTTTCTAAAATCAGTAAGTAAAAAATTTAAAAAAATAAAATTACAATTCCAACTGTTTTCCTCTTTTGCAGTAAATCTTCTCCAACAATTAGTTACACACGCTACACCCATCAACTCTCTGTGCGGCCCTCAAACTTAGAACTCTGTCTTTTTACTTATCACCATAAGATAGCTCATAAGGATGTCAAATATAATTCTAGTCTGATCACACTTGTGTTCATGCATGCCTGGTCATTTTTCATATTATTAATCAAATCCCCTACCCTTGATTCTGTTCAATTCATCAGAGGATCCATTTAGTTATTGCAACTACTGATTTCCTTTCTTGGAGATATTGAGAAATTCAGGATTTAAAACTCATAAAATCATGGCTTCTCTCACTTCAACTAATTATCTCAAGAGTGCAAAGGTGATTGATACCAATTAGATTTGAGAAACCTGCAAGTTCCTCCGTTTGATTTAGGAGTAAACTTTTAGTGAGACTTTTCTTTTCTCCTCAGGAGTCCCTGGAGCACGTCCGTGGAGATTGTGTCCCAGAGGAAGCTATGAAAGTTCCCACTAACGATTCATTTTGAGAGAAGAAATAATCTACTGTGAACTGGCCTATTAATCAGTTTCAGTGCAATTCTCCTAAATGCTTAAGAAATCTTGCCATTTCTTGAAAACTTCGTGAACAGAATTCAGCAATGCATGATGGCACTTGCCTTAAACTCTAGAAAGAGAGATTCACTTTTCTAGTACAACGGAGAAGGAAGTGTTTCTGTTTCAAGTAGACCGTTTTTAACCGGTCTCTTCTTTAGTCCACTTATGGACAAGGCCACACCTCAGGACTAGAAGCATTTCCCCGGGAGCCATCAGAGCTGTGAGTATTACTTTGCCACAGAGAGGGAAACACCACTCTTAGGGTAAAGTTGCGCTCTCCTCTAGAGTGAATAGGTACAGCTAGCCTTGATGCCCTGAAATAAAGGCTAATAAATGAATTTCAGCCCCATATAGAAAAGTCCTAAGAATGTCTGGGACATGGGCTTTCCTCAGGAAAGCTGTGTCTCACCCAGAACTCCCCACCCTGGGGAGGAATTTCAGACCGGCTGTCTTGTCTGCTTTTCAGTTCATAGTTCCTCGGGTGGCTGCACCTTTCTTTGTGAAACTTATAGATGTGTACTCTGGGCGCCCCTGCTTTAAGGCAGGACAAGACTGGACAGCTCCAAATTTACTACTGGATTAAAGTTTGGAAAAATTGGAATTGGCCCCCATCAGCCATTGAAAACAAAGTGAACACACAAATAAGCAAAAAGCAGGCTTGGAATCTGTTCCTTTCAGTGCAGACTCAGAAAAGAAATGTGTTAATGCTTTTCTACTTTTTTTGTTCTTTTGAGGCTATGAAAAGTTTAAGAAAAATAGCTCAGAAAAAAATAAAGTCACCTTCATCTCAAGCCATTGAGCACTAAGTGAATTCAGAAAGCTCTCTGCTCTCAGGGCAGTCGGAGAACTGGGAGAATCCCCAGGACACAGCCAGACACCGGGGTGCCTGATACGGAGAGACAGACAGGAAGCAGGGATGGATCGAGAAGGAGGTTTGCACAGAGAAGAGCTGGAAGCAGCAGCCGACTTGGGGACAGGTGACTCAGCAAACAGTCCCCAGCATAGCGTCTCTGGCATTTGAATATAGTAGGTAGTAGTATTTTGTAAACATATGCATGTATCTGTCTACGTAAACTTACAGGTAACAGGGGACACCGTGTCAACAAACTATCCACTCCTATAAACATTCAGAAAATATCTTTCAAGGACTTACTTTGTGCATAGCCTTCTAGGTGCTATTGCTGCCTTCCAGGGCCTATGGCTCACAGAGGAAGCCAAGCACACAGTCAGTGCAGCTCTCTGAGTGTTGCCAAGTGGACATGTGCAGAGTGTCATGGAAGCACGTGGGAACAGCGCCTCAGCTGCGCTGGAGGGTTGGCTCCTGGTCTGAGATCTAGAAGTCAGGTAAGAGCACGAGGCCGAGGAACAGTAAATATTCTGAGCTCCCGGGGCCACGTGGCCTCTGTCGGAGCAACTCAGCTCTGAAGTTTACACAAAAGCAGCCACAGATAATATGTAAACAAATTAGTGTGGCTGTGTTCTAGTAAAAATTTATTTACAAAAACCGGGTCATGGTTTGCCAGCCTCTGAAGCTGGGAATTCAGTTAAGTGTGGAGCATAGAACGGGGCAGAAAGAAGGGAAAACGGCAGAAGATTGGGCGGGAAGATTATATAGGTAAGGTCAGATCATCGGTGACCTTGAATGTCCTGCAGAGGAGTTTGTACATTACCCTCAGGGTTCTGAGGAGTGGCGTGGTCAGAATTGTGTTTTAGGGTGAAATGTGGGTAGGAAAGAGTACGGCAGGCAGAGGACTGGAAGTCCATTGAGGAGGCTGTGCTCTGCTCCGGACGAAAGGCGATGCGAGAGCTGAAGAGGCGGAAAGAAGGGGACAGACTGGAGAGTAGGAGGTAAATGACAGAACTCACGGGGCAGCGACAAGAACACTGTATGACTCTGTACATCGTAACTTTTCTAAAAGAAATAAAAAGAGAATGTAGGCTATATAATTAAATTTTAATAAGAATATAGATAAGTGTTTATTCCAGTATTTTAACTCCATAATCTTAGTTTTCCAAGGTGGCTTTCATGTGTTTCTCTGAATATTGCTTTTACCTGCTAACTTGGGATATTTAATCTCCCTTCAGATCTCATAAAACTTCCCATGTACTAGGGAACGAGTGCCGTCAGCTGTCCAGACAGCCACTGCCCGCTGCTGGCACCGCAGTCCCTCTGCCACTCCCGCTTGGCCACCGTCCTCACCAGGCACTGCCACTTCTACTCGTGCCACCGCCACTCCTCCCGGGTCCTCACGGTGCCAAAGCCGTGCCGGGTCGCTTACAAAATTAGAGAGAGTCTGGATCTCCCGGTATGTTCCACACTTGTCACCTGGACACCACAGCAGCGCTGTCTGTAACCAGGATCTCAAAGAGTGCATTCAGTCACCGCCTGCAGCCCACCCCTCCATAAAGCTTAGACAAACGTCTGCACGCGTTAAAGAAGGCTGACACTACACTCCCCGCGCACACGCACACACACACCCACAAACACACGCGTGCATGCACCCGCCCCATGCTAGCAAACTCCCTGACTCAAGATCCTCCCCTCCAAACGCCTCATGAACCCATCACAGACACTAACGCACAGGAGACCTGTTAGTGTATCAGAGGTGCCTGAAGTCCCAGCTGCAGCTCAAGTTGGATTCCCTGCCCTAGTTCTATTTTACAAACATTGGGTCCTAGTCTGGAATGCATTTCCCCTCCCTACACCCTCCCTTCCATTGAACTCCAGAAATCAGCTTAGGCACCTCCTTCTCTGGAAAAACCTTCTTTAACACCCCACCCCCAGGCTGGTAAAAGGAGCCTTCCAGGTCTTTCCAAAACAATCTGTGCACGACTCTACACTTGCACCCCCTGGGCTATGTTGTAATTACTGTGTACAGTTGATCTCCCTATCTAAATGATAAGCTCCCTAGTTGCCTAGCAGGACTTGGAACATAGTAAACCCTCAACAAATGCCTGTGGAATAAATAGGTCTAATTCTAAATTGTAAAATGTTTAGCCCTTAGAAATTTTTACCATAAGAGACTCCCACTTTTTTCTGTGTGGGGAATGAAGATAAATCCATATCTATCCTATATAGAGTGGCCAGGCTCATGACTAATTATCCATCAGTACAAACTCAAATATTTCTCTGTCTCTCATAGTTTTATAGAAAAGAACTGGAGATTATGACATTATTAGAAAAGAGTGGGAGGAAATGAAACTATTTTTTTACCCTGAGTCCTCAGAGAATTATTGTTCTCTTATATGGGGACAGAATTAAGCAACATACCAATGAACTGTGAGCTGCCCCTTCTGTGCTGTTTCTCATGTACATTAAAAGTTGTGCAATTTGTTTCATAGTAACTTATCTTGCCCATTGCAAAGAACCATATGGAAGAATATTCTCAATAAGAGGGATTAGCTTTACTATTCTCTAGTGAGTTTTAATGGAACAGAAAGGAAGTTCTCAGCCTATAAGTTTGCATATACAAATAGGAAACATGGCATAGAAAGATACTTAGTCCCAAAGGAAGATTTCAGTAGGGATGCATTTCCCAGGATTTCCAGTTTGTTATCCTGAGTATGTGAAGCTTTTTCTCTTTTAGGTTTGCGTCTACAGATCTTTATCCAATATGAATTTATTAGATATTTCTGTATATTAGGTCCTGATTCAACTTGTCTTGGAATTTTTAAAAATAGATCTTTATTGATTTCAGAGAGAGGAAGGGAGAGGAAGAGAGTTGAAACATCAATGATGAGAGAGTCATTGATCGGCTGCCTCCTGCACACCCCTGACTGGGGATCGAGCCCCTAACCCGGGCATGTGCCCTGACCGGGAATCGAACCACGATCTCCTGGACCCTAGGTCAATGCTCAGCCACTGAGCCACGCCGGGCTGGGTTGTCTTGGAATTTGGAGTGTGTGTGTATAAAATCAGCTTCTTAAACTATCTACAATATAAGTCAAGAATTTTCTTTCAGAATATAATATGAGAGTGTGGATTAACTTCTCAGGAACCCACAGCTGGGCTTGTGTCCTGTATACCATTATATACACTGTTTGTTTGAAATAATCTTATGGGTGATTGACAGAGAAACCATCACATTACAATGATAATTGCTCTATAGGGTGAAAAAGTACTTTTGCATTCATAAAGTGTAATGAGTACTTTCAAAGTCCATTAAAGCGGGTAAAGGAACAAGCCAAACCACGAGTAAGGAAGGAGGCCTCCCTGTGCATGTGTATGTGGAGGAGGCAGCTGTCCTGAAGGACCTTAAACAGAATCAGAATCTTCCTTTTATTTTGGCTTAAACTGTATATGAGTGTGAGATTCTAAGGTGCTAGTTTCATATCTGTTTTTCTAGAATACCAGGGACATGAGGAATGGCACGGCGATCACAGAGTTCATCCTCCTGGGCTTCCCTGGTGTCCAAGGACTACAGATCCCTATCTTTACAGTCGTCTTTTCCATCTACATAGTAACCCTTGCAGGCAATGGGCTCATTATTGCCATTGTCTGGGCTGAGCCCAGGCTACAGATTCCAATGTACATCTTCCTTTGCAACTTGTCCTTCCTGGAGATCTGGTACACCACCACGGTCATCCCAAAACTGCTGGAAACGTTTGTGGTGGCGAGAGCAGCTATCTGCACCCTCTGCTGCCTGCTGCAGTCCTTCTTCCACTTCTTCCTGGGCACCACTGAGTTCTTCATTCTCACTGTCATGTCTTTTGACCGCTACCTGGCCATCTGCAAGCCCCTTCGCTACCACACCATCATGACCAGCAAACTCTGCCTGCAACTGTCCCTCAGCTCCTGGGTGGTGGGCTTCACCATTGTGTTTTGTCAGACAATGCTGCTCATCCAGTTGCCGTTCTGTGGCAACAACGTCATCGATCATTTCTACTGTGATGTTGGTCCCATCTTGAAAGCAGCCTGTGGAGACACAAGCATTTTGGAGCTTCTGGGTCTCTTGGCAACGGTCCTGGTAATCCCAGGGTCACTGCTCTTCACAGTGATTTCTTATGCCTCTATTCTGTCTACCATCCTACAGATTCCTTCAGCCTCTGGCCGCCAGAAGGCTTTCTCCACCTGTGCCTCTCACCTGACAGTTGTCTCTCTGTTTTATGGAGCTGTCTTGTTCATGTACCTGAGGCCCACAGCACACTCCTCCTCTAAGGTTAATAAGGTGGTGTCAATGCTAAACACTGTCCTCACGCCCCTCCTGAATCCCTTCGTTTACACCATTAGGAACAAGGAGGTAAAAGAAGCCCTAAAGAAAGCGATGACTTTTCCGAAGCCTTGTCATGCAGAGTCACACATGCAACACATCAAAATAAATTTAATGCAGATACAAAATTAAATGTGAGAGAGGGTTGTGGAGAAGATGCAGATGTGAGCACAAACTCTGATGTCAGGCTGCCCTATAAGAACTAGTTAAATGTAAACGAGTCAGAAATCCTCCTTGAAGAGGTGTGACCTAATTCTCCAACAGGGAAACCCCAGAATACGCTCAGATGCATGAGCTAGAACTGAGAACTTTCTCAATTATAGGCTGAAAGTAGAAACCACCAATGTCAGGAACAACTGTCAGCACATTTTTTTAAATATAAGAAATGCTATCTCACTCTTTGTTTATAATAACCCAGTTAGCCTCATCTCCTTGTCAAGGGTGTAAGGCATCCCTCAGCTCATTTTCTTCATAATAGGAGAAGCTCCCTGACATCTCCTAATCAATTCCAATGGTCTTTCAAAAATGCTGGAAATAAATTAGGTTTTTGTTTGATAATGTGTCAATAAGCGGATGTCCATGTTTTGTTTTGTTTTAATTTTTTTAATATATCTTTATTGATTTCAGAGAGAGGAAGAGGGAGAGGGAGAGGGAGAGAGAGAAACATCAATGATGAGAGAGTCGTCATTGATCGGCTGCCTCCAGCACACCCTCGACTGGGGATCGAGCCCGTAACCTGGGCATGTGCCCTGACCGGGAATCGAACCCCGATNGCACACCCTCGACTGGGGATCGAGCCCATAACCGGGGCATGTGCCCTGACCGGGAATCGAACCGTGATCTCCTGGATCCTAGGTCGATGCTCAACCACTGAGCCATGGCTGGCCGGGCCGGATGTCCATCTTGACATAAAACAAATTGTTAGGTAAACCTAGACATGTTTATTCCCAGATAATACCACAATTTGAGGATATCATATAAAAATTTCCTATTGGATTTGCCAGTTGCTATGCTGCCATATAGGCAGGCCATGTGTCTAGGAAACCACTAAGATCTCAGAGCCAACATAACCATGAAAGCTTCCCTGCTGGAAAACTCGGCTCCAAGGCTGCATTAAGTTCAGAGCTGGTGTGTATGATTAGCATGTGAAGGTCCTCAAGGCAGGTGATAAATCTCTTGGTATAACCTTGCTCTCAGGCAAAACATCTGGCAGAAAAAGGTATTTACACAGTCATGGTACAGATGAGTTACAGTTTGTAATAATAAGTGTTATATATGTCTCTCTTCCAACAGCAAAGAAGAAAATCGTACCCTTTGCAACAGCATGGAAGGACATGGACAGTATTATGCTGAGTGAAATAAGCCAGTCAGAGAAAGACAAGTATCACATGATCTCACTTATATGTGGAATCTAATGAACAAAATAAACTGACAAACAAAATAAACCCAGAGACATGGAAGTATGAGACAGACTGACGTATTGCAGAAGGAAGGGGATGGGGGAGAGATTAACCAAAGAACTTATATGTATATTTGCACAGCCTATGGGCAGAGGATAGTGCAGGGAAGGCCTGGGGAGGGGCAGGAGTGGGGGGAAGAGGGTCAGTGGGGGAACATATGTAATACTTTCAACAATAAAGATAAAATAAATTTTTTAAAAAGAAACAACAATCTAATGTTCCCCCTATCACTTCTCCACATCCACTCTTGGATCTCAAGTCTCCTCAGTTGCCAGAAGGATCTTATAAAAATACATATCTAATCATTTCACTTAATTAAAATCCTTCTATGGCTTCCCATTAACTTTGGGAGGTAATGCTTAATTTGGTGTGTAAGACCATTGGTCTATTACATCTGATCTCTATCCACAACACCAGGCCCACCTCACACATTTCTCTATTGTTCTCTGGCCCCAGACACACTAATCTTCTCTGTTTTTCCAATGCCCTGAGCTCTTTCCCATCTCAGGACTCCTGTGTACACACTATTTCCCATTACAGTCAAACCTCGAACATTTCCCATCTCTAACAATTCAGTTCTCAACTAAGTCATTCATGGAAAAAATGCCTCAGTTGTCAAACAACCCTGTCATGCTGATGATACCTGTATGATAGTCACACATCTCTCAGGTGACAAAGGAGAGAGCGTGCCAGTATAAATCAGTTTAACCTCAAATTGTTAACATCTCAGGAAATTGTGCTGTGAATATTTTCATGGGTTTTGGGGTTTTTTTTGTTTGTTTGTATTTTGCTTTTGGGGATCTAGAATGGATTAATTCAATTTACATTATTTCTAATGGGAAAAAATGATTTGGTTTTCCAATAGTCTCCCAGAATGAATTAAGTTTGAGAACCAAGATTCCACTGTACTTCAAATATTCTTTCATACTCACTCCACCTCTCACTCCTACCCCNCAACAGTCTCCCAGAATGAATTAAGTTTGAGAACCAAGATTCCACTGTACTTCAAATATTCTTTCATACTCACTCCACCTCTCACTCCTACCCCCAATCTCAGCCAACTGAGTCATCATTCAGAACTCTTCTCAGTGTTATCAGTGAAAATCAGGCTCCTCCACAGGATTGCAAGGAAAGCATTCCAAGTACCCATGCATGGGAGACTGTGGTGTGGCAAGAAATATTTGTGATGCAAAATCAAAAGAACACCCTTTGGGGTTCCCAATGTCCCATCTTCATCCATCCCACCATGGAAAAAGTCCAACCTTGTCTTCATTAAGGCCAAAACAAGGCCAGTGTTCAGAGTTTCTGTTTCATATTAAAGCTTAGCACTTTGGAGCCCACAGGGTCTGCTGTGGGCTCAGTAGCTGCTAGACTTGCATGGAAGCATGTTCCCAGGAAGGGAAGCAGAGAATGCAAGCAAATTAGTGGGCGAGTGCATTACTGGGTAGGCAAGAAAAAGAGATTTTGCTGCTATTTTCAGGCTCCCAACTGGCTCCTGAATGTGGAGTACACATGGCCACTAGGGACACATGGCCATGGTGAAAGAAAGCCCCAGTGCACAAGTGAGTGTGGGTCACGCAGTGTGTGCACACCCATGCACCTGCGAGAGAGAGAGAGAGAGAGAGAGCTTCTGCTCTTTGTTCCCTGGGGTTATGAACAGGAGTTTTTTCAAAATAACCAATCAACTTCCCAAGCTTTGGCAGGCTTNACAGTGTGTGCACACCCATGCACCTGCGAGAGAGAGAGAGAGAGCGAGCTTCTGCTCTTTGTTCCCTGGGGTTATGAACAGGAGTTTTTTTCAAAATAACCAATCAACTTCCCAAGCTTTGGCAGGCTTCTGATGGGTCCATTCCATGACCAATGATTCCTTTCCCAGGTTAGACTGAGGGAGCTCTATGGTCAAGCACCGCCCCACCCCCCCCCGTGCCATTCTGTCTTCTGTTGCTCATGTGCTTACAAACCACTGCTCCCCAACAATTTGGTACCAGGGGGAAGGGAGGAGTGTTGATTCCTGGTGAGGCAATGCTGGGATCCCCTTGAGTGTCTGGNCCCTTTCCCAGGTTAGACTGAGGGACCTCTATGGTCAAGCACCTCCCCCTGTGCCATTCTGTCTTCTGTTGCTCATGTGCTTACAAACCACTGCTCCCCAACAATTTGGTACCAGGGGGAAGGGAGGAGTGTTGATTCCTGGTGAGGCAATGCTGGGATCCCCTTGAGTGTCTGGTTAGCTGTAGCTTCCTGGTGGAGCAAACACAGTTACTGTCTGATTCCTTTTGTTTTCCCTCTAATATCTAGCTACCTATGGTAACAAAAGGATACTACTCAGGAAAGCGTCCACTAAACACCTCTCTACCAGCACCACAACCAGTACTAGGACCTCTATTACAAGCTCTCATCACATGCTGTACTTTTCCCTTGTAGAACTTACCACAATCATAATTTATTGTGAAAGTTATTTAAAATTCTGTTTCTTTCCCCTCAAACTCCTTATATCATACACACACACACTATGAAAGTTAGTTCCATCAGGGTGTCATTCTCATTCTTCACTGTGTTCCATATACCTACCACAGTGTCCTGCAATACTAATTGCTCAATAAAAAAAACCACTAATAAATGAAGGACCAGATAACTAGGCTGACAGCACAAGTCATATCACATATGGATTATATCCTCTGTAGTCATATTATGTAAATATCCTATACTCCATGTTTTAAAAGTGGAAATTAATTACTATAGACAATATTAGATTAGAATCCCCATTTAATATCATTCACAAAAATAAATTCAAAATCTAACCATAAAAAGGAGAACAAAAAAGTAATATAAGAAAATAGGGCCTGGCAGGGCATGGCTCAGCAGTTGAGCATCGACCTAGGATCCAGGAGATCGAGGTTCAATTCCTAGTCAGGGCACATGCCCAGGCTGTGGGCTTGATTCTCAGTCAGGGGCATGCAAGAGGCAGCCGATCAATGATGGCTCTCTCATCATTGATGTTTCTCTCTCTCTCTCTCTCCTTCTCCCTTCCTCTCTGAAATCAATAAAGATATACTTAAAAAAAAAAATAGGGGGGTAACCCTGATGACTTTAGTGGGAAAAGGATTNGAAATCAATATATACTTAAAAAAAAAAAAATAGGGGGGTAACCCTGATGACTTTAGTGGGAAAAGGATTTTTAAATAAGACACAAAATTCAAAACCATTGAGAAAAAGTGTATCAAGTTTGAAACTGTNTTTTAAATAAGACACAAAATTTAAAACCATTGAGAAAAAGTATATCAAGTTTGAAACTGTATTACTATAAACAAAGAATATAAAAGCTATAAAGTTAATATATGCAACATGTATGTCATATGATTGGTATCTAGAATATGTAAAAAACATCTAACCATGAATAAGAAAAAGATCCCAAAACATCCAATGAAAAAATAGGCAAACTCACAGGGAAACTAAAACTTAAAAATAAACATACAGATCATGCCTCAACATAATAAAGGCCATATGTAAAAAACTTGTAGCCAACATCATACTCAATGGGCAAACTCTAAAAATGTTTCCCTTAAGATCAGGAACAAGACAGGAATGTGCACTTTTCCCACTCTTATTCAACATAGTACTGGAAGTCCTAGCCACAGCAATCAGACAAGAAGAAGAAATAAAAGGCATCCAAGT